CCCATATATGGACTATACGGGGATGATCCGCTGAACAGGGTATGGTTTTTCGAGCTTCTTGTCATAAACAGGGTATGCAATCTACAGTCTTCACGCATGGCCAATGTTTTGTTTTGTTTAGTACGTCGCTATGACTACCACTACTGACAGATGCGTTATGGATTTCATTCCGATCGCTCGATCGCTGAAATGTGTTTCCATATAATTGCTCACGATCGTTTGCATCATTTTCAGCGATCCGGCGATCGTGAGCGATCATATGGAAACCAGGCTTCTTAAGGTATCAGGGTACCCCTAGCGACCATTGTGCATTCAACTCTTAATAGCACAAAACCTTTTAATCGAAACCTCAACAAAGTATACATTTTCTGAAAGCTGAATAAATGTAGAAACTATTCCTTTTGCCTTTTTGTAAAATACATTTATCCTTTTAAGTTAGAGCGAATTATTCAAATTTTCATCTTGGCGTCTTCGCGGAGTTCGATGACAGCCGGCAATGATCGGAAATTTATCACTATAGCATATATATTTGTTATTTTTTATCCCTGGTTGATAAAGATCAAAGTCACGCCAGCCCCTTCCAGACTTCTTGTCGTAATCCGATATAAACTTATCACCCATATTTATCCAGTTCCCTCACTCCCACCCACTTCCTTCTTTTCCTTTTTTCTAAAACGTTCCAAAATGATGGAACTTGGTCTAAAAAAAACTCACATGTATTTACTATGATATCCCAAAGCTTAGTTGATGTAATGTTTTGGTACTGTATCGGTGTTTCGATGTTTACYAACACCCTGTCAAAAGTGTGTCTCCGATTTTTAATTAGTTGCCGCGTTGCTTTTCTATGCGCTCCTAAGTTATGACGCTGCTATATCAGCTGAAGCCGAGCCAAAATCYACGATAACTTTGGAAATAAGCAAAARATCAAAAATCGGAGACAWMYTTTTGAAGAAAAACTATCCAAGATGACTTCCTCAAAATTTTAGTTAAATTGGTCTAATTCCCTTTGACAACGAACTCAAAATGTACGGGTAACTGAACGSAAAATCACTTCCGAGAAAAACGCAAAATTGTTTTTCAATCCAAGGAGTGCCTTTAATGACATAAGGAGACACAGACACCAAAATGTGTCCCAGAAGACAGACAAAACAACGAGAAACCAAGATCGAATTACTTTGTTATTGTTATTCAGGGCGTGAAGTCCAAATAAATTCCTAACTGAACTTTGGTTATTCAGTACCGTTCAGTAGTGTTTTTAGGCATTCATCGCTATTACTCAAGTTCAGACGTTTTGTTCGCTCAGGGCATACTTATTATTTTTAAAYGTACAACTRACTAAAGAGAAAAGCAAGAAAACAGCAGGGAATCAAAACGAAGKTCCAAAAGTGTCCAAGGTAAAACAGCAGTSGYTGATAGAGACGTAACCCTTGATGATCAATGTACAGTACTTCCAAAACTTATGGAACAGAAGTTTAACTAGCATAGCTGGAAAGAGCATGTTAAGATTTAAAAAATTGTGAAATTTGAGCGAAATAAGTTCAACAAACGCAAAAATATAATTATTTCAAAAATTCAAATTTTTTTTCCCCCACATTTTTTCCCCCCCTCAGGAAACCAAAAATTATATTTTCGCTTTTCAAATTTCTTTCTTCGTTTTTTTCGGCTATGGTAAATATTATTGYTTTACTAATCTAAAGATACCTGATAAAGCTCATTTTAAATGTTTATACATCAGCGTTGAAAACAGTTTGAAGGGAAAACGGCCAAAATAACTTCGGATGTATTATAATAGTGTTCTTATTTTCCCACCATTTTTTGACATTTTCTTTACAGCGCTTATGTTTCATTAATAAGAATCGAAAAATACCTGTTATGTTCAACACATGCAGGTGACATACATATTAAATGTAAAACTCACCTCACGTAAATAACATTAGCCATAATTTAATTAAAACACGTAACTTGTACAAAAATTGAAGAAATTTCAAAAGTCAACGATAAATGTGAATATTATTTCTAATCGATGACTTGACAAGCTTTTTTTATTTCAAAGAAAACGCTATTAGTTTTCAAAAGAACTATATCACTTGGCGTTATACATTTAAACAAATGAATTATTTATTGTATGCAAATATTCTCATATTAATCCTCCTTGATATCGACTACCCAGAATACCTCTCGGTCTTAGCTTCAATTCTCGACTTTCACATCCCCATAATGCCTTGCGTCTTTGGGGGGAACCAATCAAAAAACTGTCCCAAATTGAAGGGTTTCTTAATTGAATTTATTCTATACCTGCTTTTATTTGTATAATACTGATTATCAGTTTATTCCAAGTTATTTTTGCGTGTGCAGATCATGAAGAGTTTTGGTCTTACAGAAAATGTATTGACTTACGAAAAAATGTTTRAAATTTACCTTAAACGTCTTCGAGCTTCTATCTTTTTCTGTTTTTWACTTCTTCATTTTATTTTTGGATACCAAACAAGGTATTGTCAACATTGTCTGATCAGCCTTCAGCAAAATAAATGGGTTTTTACCCTCTGGTTACCCCCCAAAGGCACAAAGTATTATGGGGATGTGAAAGTAGAGAATGATTGAACCTTTTTCGAGCTAGCCATCGCGTGACAAATTGTATTGGATTGCGTTACAGTCACCATATCGATACAAAAGTCCCGACTTTTAAACACTGAGCATAACATGACTATACTTGAAGATACGAATCCTATAACAAGGGTCCATGTTTCCATAGCAACTTGCTGTATTTCTTTCGTTACTAATTTGTTATCCTAATGACCCTGAGAAAACAAATTTTGATTGATAAAGACAGCTTTCGATTAATTATGCTTGTAAAACATAGTGGCACGAAAGGAAACAATATCTTGCCATTGAAAGCAGTCCGACCAGCCAGCCCACGGAGGGTCAGGGAAAAAAGCTTTGCTCGCAGGGTATCTTAAAATCGAACACGGGACCCAAAAGGTGAGCGGCGAGTACACTGACACTGCGCCACCCTTGATTATAATATGAAGTTTGATTCCTCAGTTGTCGAGACTCGAGATCACTCGTGCCATAGCGATTATATCTTATCCATATCAAGGAAACACCTTTGAAATCCATGCATACAAAAATATGTTTTTTGACCTTTAAACTTAAACATGCCCTGACTTAGATCAGCCCAGAAGTTATTTCACCTTTATTGATAAAAGCTTCAAATTTCTACATATGTCATATATGAACTCGAGTATTTCTACGGTAGATTCGTATCCTTTGAGGCTCATTTCACGTTTCTGGGACCTAGAAGGCTCCAGAAGCAGTAGATGTTCTCGCTTGATTCGTTAATTAAGGCAACAGTAGTTTGGGTCAGGAAATGGGTCTAATCGCTTYATTTTTTTTCAGCCATGGATATTAATATTGATTCCAATAACAACGCCGACACGCCATTAACACTTGGTACTCTTTTCAAACAAGACATGAAGACAGCCAACATCTTATCAAACTACCCGACCTCCTTCGTCCCGAACTATCGCTTCCTCAACAACACCAAATACCGTATATACGATATACAGAAGTCCGGTCCCAAGAAGAACAACCCGTTCCTGTTCCTATATCCGGGAAGGATCTGCTCGGTAGCGGGGAACGAGTTTCCCGTCCTTATGGACAAACAGCCCTGTGATGATATTATGGCTCACTGGAAAAGATGGCTGCCCGGATTTCCCGAGCCTGTCTTCAAGACTATTGATGAAGGAGTTGAGGATGAAGACCCAATTATTACTATCTTCCCTATGCAGAGGATACCGGAAGAGAAACACGCTGTTGATCCTGATACACACTACCATGTGAGTGTTTTTGTCTACTTCCGGTTGCGCATGCGTATTTTCAATATGTCACCTCGATGTTCACTTCCTTTAGCGCATSTGATGATCTGTTTGTGCATGTGTATATCCTTGATGTTCACTTTCGTTTGTTTGCGCATGCGTATATCRTCCTTGATGGTCACTTCAGTTTGCGCATGCGTATGTCATCCTTGATGGTCACGTTTGCTTGCGCATGCGTATGTCATCCTTGATGGTCACTTCCGTTTRCACATGCGAACATCATCTTATAAATTCCCGTAGAAACGTTAAAAGGTTTAATCTTTTTTTTTTCTTGCTTTTTTTCAGATTCTTCTAAAGAGCGCGATTCCCGAGACAGGAGCCCCTTGTCCCGAGCACTACACGCAGGAGAATGCCGTGTTCCCTTGCATGGTGAAGGTTGATCAGAGCCTGAGCGGGTATGGCAACTATGTCTGCTACAACCAGGAGGAGCTCGCGGCTGCCTTGGAAACCATCAATGAAGCTTTTGGAAAAGCTGCGCCTTACGTCATCACTGGTGCGTAGAGATTCCCTTGAGTATTATTTCTTTCTTTACTAGGAATGCTTTTCA